AAAGCCGTTCCTCCATTATCTGCCACCTGCGGACGCGACGGGCAGCCAGCGGCTGGGCTAAAGGGTAACCACCCGGTCATACGCCCCAGTTAACCAGACTTGGACAGGCCATTGGCGCGTAGGAGTGATAATAGATTGACCCAGTGCTTTGAAACTATACCAATTCGATAAAATCCGTAGCGTGGAAAGTTGCCAATCGATGATATACTTTTTTTACAAGTTACAGCAATAGCTTCATCTTAATAGTGCTCTCGTGGGATTTTAACTTATAAATAAAGATGACGCCTATTCTTGGTAGGCGATGATTTATGAACCCGGCCATGTACAGGATAATTGGAGTAAGATGTAAGTAACCACAGAATTTCTCGGAACCCTGTCGCTCACGACGGACGAGTTGCTCGACCCTACAACCTCCTCGAGTAGATGACCTTATACTTCCTATTATTAATGGCTGTGGTGTCATTTTCATGATTTTTGTACTATGGTAAAAACATCTGAGACTGGGAAAAAAATCAATTCCAAGCTCCTCCAGAACCCGCAATTTTAATTTCATCGTTAATAAGAATATAATTCTTTAATAACTGACTGAAGAGACTGAGTTTGTGAAGATTGATTTTGTCAGAAACCTAACTTTCACGGCTATTCGCCTTCCATCCGCGGATTCTAACGAGAGTAGTAGCAGGAACTAGGGCTGAATTTTAAAATAATATAATTTGAAACAGGACACCAAGTTTTCCCAAAGATACTAACTGTACTAAAGGAATAAGAATCGTTCCGCCACTCGGACTCGTAAACTGTTGCGCTTACTAACCCCTTCCTGTTACTAGCTTCTGTGCCTTCGACAAGACCAAGACATTGGTGCTTGGAAATAAAAAAGCGTAAGTACGCAAGTATGTCGGGAGGCGAGAGGCCAGAACCAACGTATACAGCGGAGTTTTTTGCAAATTCTCTTCCTCGTGAGTAAGCTTCAAAAAGGTGTGCTGTCATGCATAGCGAAGGCGTATATACACCTACCTGGGACTTGGCCATTGACATGGCAAACTTTGTTGCATCGTCGGCATCCTGCGCAACAGGAGGATACTCAACCATCATTCGAAGAGAAAAGGCAGGCATAAGCCACATGCTAAAAGTTGGGTAAAACAAAGTAATGATCAGAGGCAATAGGGATGACAGCGCAATTCAGCGGCTACCCTGTCATCAAACAACTACTTCTTGAAATATTTGCTACATGGTCCCAAACTTACAATCTGGAGGATGCATGGGAAGCGAAAACCGATGTGTCCGTGAAGGTGTTACATAAAATCAAAGATTTGACAGGACAATCCAGGTGCATTGAGTATAGATAAAATTTCTGAGCTAGGAAACCGCCCAACGAACTGCCAACTAAATGCACAGCCGTCAGCTGCAGTTCGCGGAGGAGCCGCATAAAAGATTCACAAAACTCGCCTGCACTGTACGTGCGAGGATAATTTATCTGAAAAAAGGCAATCGAGTGTAAAGTAGTCATTACGGAGATTATCCGAAAACCATTTTTTGAAAGCCGGAGTTGGAGTTCATAATATATCGTGGCATCACAGGTGCACGGTGGGAGACAAATGATAGGACAGAGTATATCTTTCGGGCCGATGTCATAAATTTCAAAATTATGTGGACCTATTTTTATCTTTGAAATCAAACAAAAGAAAAACTCAAACTATAGTCCGTGAGGCCAAGGAATTAAACGACTGTAGCCTGGCATTATCTGTGCCCTTCTGTATGTTATTCATAAGAGGGCGTAAATCTCCAGCCCAAAATCTCGTGAGCACTTGGGCACATCGCGAAACCAAATCTTATAAAGCCACCTCTTTCGTTTCCTATTGGTTGTCGATGTTGTGGATGATTTGTCAACTTTTTCGGAACTCGTCCTTATAATATTTCCAGTTCTAAACAGCGGCGGCAGATGAGCCAGTGTTTCAGTTGTTATGGCAAACTCCTTACGACAAATCTTCCCAACTGTTTAGAACACTGACCTCAATAAGTCAAAGGAGAGAGCGCGGTGTATAAGACATATATCGATTTTGAAAGCTATTAGATAGGTAGACAGGCCTCATGGAGAAACTCCCGAGGTTATTTCGAAGCTCGTTAACCGAGTCTTCTCAAATTTTCAATAACAGTGGACAGCAGATAGAGGGAGTTACAGTTAAGAGTGGCTTTCTCCAAGGCTTCGTTCGTGGCCTTATTCAAGTCACTGTGTACATATACGACTGTTCAGGTGAACTAGGTGGTGACTTTGCCGCGTTCGCTGGTAACAGTAAGCTTTGGAGTGCAGTTTGAAACGGAAGTCAGCAGAAAAGCGTCTGCAGGCAAACCCAAACGGGTTCGAAAAATGAACCAGTAGCGGGCTTCTACCGGTCAATACAAGCGAATTCAACACTCTAGGAGTCGACAAAACCGGATCTCTATACTGAAGAATTCACTACCTGCATGCCAAAGCTTTGTAAGTAGGGGATGCCCATAAGCATCTGCTTGTAGGGATGACGAGTTCACTCAAACAACCACTGCAGGGAACGAAGATAGGTATATCTGCAGTGTCGGCATCACACCTTGCCAAGCGGACTTCCTCTACATTTGATAAGGACTGCTTTGCTTAACTTTTCGAACCTTGGTGCAAGTGCAACTCGACGAAACTCTTCACAGTGCAAGGGTTTTTTGGTGTCACAGACGATTTCCAAAGTATGTCCTTTCAATTTTTATCTCTCTTGATATCTCGCACTAACCAGACGAAACGATGCTTCTCAGAGACTTTTTTATCGGACAGCTTTGCTGAATAACGTCGATTATAACTCCTCTGACAATGCCATACTTGACGTCAAGGTGCCCAGTAAGACCTTCAGGTTAATTTAATACTGATAACATACTTCCCACGACAGGAAAATTTCCTTGCTGGAAACTGAGCGAAACCCCAGTCGTTTTCAGTTGGTGCGTGTGCAAACAGTATCCCTACAGAAGCATGACGTAGTCGCTCCTGCCAAGCGGAATTATGAATCTAAATTTGCCTGTATTCACTGGGTCTAATAAGGACAAGACTGAGGCAATTTACCCTTTGAGCATCCTAGATTCTGCATGAAAACGTGGTATCTTGTACGACAAACACATCAGTTGACAGTTTTAAAGGGTGGAATCAAAATTTTTTGTTTGCCGTTTGTCAATAAACTATTTCAGTCCATCACCAAGTAGTCCAAACATTTTTCCATCAACATTTGAAGCTTGGTTAGGCGGCCTCTACAAGTTCGGCAAATCCACATTTTGTTCGCCACGCATCGTCAGTTTTAATCGCATTACTTTCCAGTCGAGGGGGCGAAATATTCTGCGTTCTGATTACTAGTCCTCTCCTATTTAATGCAACTTGTCTTGACAAAAGATAACAATCTCGGCACTCAATGCTTCAGCCTCTAATCTGGCCTCTATAGTGCAATTTACATCCGGCCGTAAATCTTATATCCATAATTTTACTGTGTCTGTTTTTTGGAGCGAATTCTGTGCATTCGTATAAGAAAGTAAAAATTTGCTTGAGTAGATTTTCGGATGATTTTTGGATCAATTTTGCTGAATATTTCATGTAGTTAACGCGGCACAGAGTCCGAATCCGAATATGCTGCTGTTTGGTTGAACCGGCTGACGGTGTGTTAATCGTCCTTTTCGCCAGACCACTCGATAGGTAGGAATGTTGTTTTTAAAAATCGGATTGTTCCTTACTCTCATTGGTATTGATTATTCATAGAGGAACGACCTCTGAACATTTACCATTTCTCTGTCGAATGTTGCTAGATTTGTTATCTGAAGTGGATCTTCTGAGTATTTTGGCCTTGAATTCCCTCTTTGTTTCTCTCTCGGCCATTCAGAAATTCTGATGAAAAATAATTCCTAGAAGGGCGTTTCGTGGTCATGGTTTCCTATTTAGTTGTAGCGCCGCTGGCTTCACATTTTGTAGACAACCTTTAACGGGTTTGATTTGGCTCGACCCATGGTTTAAATCTTTCGTTAGGCCGATCTTGGAACTTTTAGGACAATGGGGTTCACGTTTAAGAGGGATTTGAGGTGTTTCTGACCGATTCATTG